CAGAGCTTGCGCCACACAGCTTGCACAGCGCAGCTTCCACAGCAGAGCTTGCACTGCAGAGCTTGCACCGCATGGCCGACGCCACATGTATTTCCACAACAGAACTTACACTCCATAGCTTACACAACATAGCTTACACCGCATAGCTTACACAGCATGGCTTACATTACATAGCGTTCACCTCCGCGGTGCAAGAACTCACTGTTTGGGCTCCACGCTGGCTGGCACTTTGTCAATGGTGGCGGTGGCGAGCATATTGTCCACTGCATGCCCGCCCAAGTCCTTGTGAAAAGCCATTGCCAACTGACCGAAGGTGCAAACACCATTCACCGTGCAAACAGCGCCGGCGTCACTCGCATGGTCTTTCTGACAAGGACCGTCGGATTACCTACCTGTTGCCATTGCCCGATGTGTGCTGCCTCATGCGCTCAACGAACGTGGCGCACCTGCCGCAATCGGCTCGCCAGGCGTGTGCAACGCACAGGCTGGAGCACCTGTAGCACATGTCGCCAATGGAGCACTCGCCACGCACGGCGCATCCCGAGTGCGTTGCACGTCTTGCTGTTCAAAAGTGGCTGTCCATTGAACGGCGATCGCTGCCTGTGCTAAGCCTCGGGTGACCTCAGCGTGCGTCTGGAGGGCGGGTGGGGGTTGGAGAACCAACCTGTGGTTTCCTTCTGGGAACTTGAACAATACATCGCATCTCATCGACCCTTGACCCGAAACTGGACCAAGCCTTGCAAGGTCAGATCCAGCATGGGGCACTTTCAACACGATGCGGGACACAAGCCCACACCTTCCTAGAAAAACAACACAACGTGGGCCGCATGCAGGGGCTGAACGGGCGCCATCATTTGCGAAATGACATAATGCGGTGCACACGCGTTGATCGCATTCGATAACAATCCATATCAAGTAACACGGTGCGGACCACGCGCGCGCACATGTCAGATCATTGCGCAACCGCTCGTTCCCCCGCGAAAGATCTGGACACACAGTACTCGCTGGCCCAACGGGCCAGAGGCGCGCTAAAATCTTCGGTCAGAGTTTAAGAATGCTCCTAGTTCGTGTGCGCATGGCGGACCCTGGGGGTACCCGGACAAAAATACCCCCGCAAGGCGCCGCCAAACGTCCTGGTCCCGGCATGGTCGGGTCAGAGATGCCGGCCCAAGAGGCCTCCAAGACGTCCCCAGGATGGCCCCAGGAGGGGGCCCAGAGGGGGAAGCCGAACGGACATTTCGAGCTCCAAGAGGCCCCCAAGAAGCCTCCAAGAGGATCCCCAGAGGCCCTGCCAGCCAGATTTGGCTGGGCATGTCCTGTGCTTTCATATGTTGTATGAACCCACGCACATCCTACAAATGATATTATGGCCATTAGATCCAACGGATCGGACCCTGGCAGTTCCCCTTGTAACTGACAATTCGCGGTTGACATTTGGTGGTCCGTGTCTCTAACACACACGCAACAATACGTCTGGGGCCACATGCGTGCGCTCACGAGCGCACAAATCAGAATCATTCGGCAAGAATTCAGCAAAAAACAATGCTTGCCAAATGCATATGCAATGCTGCAGCCATATTTATCTGAGCGCGCGCCAGTGCTCATCAGCGCCATTATCAAGATACGAGCATGAGTTCATCAGCTTGCACAGCCCTCTGAGGGGATTCAGCGAATAAGTTGATGAGATCCTCAACAATCGGGCAGAAGATGGCTGTTCTGTTCCCCCAGAGACTTACTGGGCAAGATGGGGCTACTTGGAAGCGACAGTGTCAGGAGGAGTAGAACTCTGTATGGCTCTATGATTGCATTGGGCGAACAGGTGTGCTCGAGCTCCGCCACTCCAGTGCATCCTATATTGCCCTGCTCCACCTGGAAGGCCTCCCGTCCCCTGCCTCGTCCCTCTTCCGCCCGTCGTTGAAGGGGAACTGGGCCACACAAATAAATAAATACACACAAATAAGAGAAATCCCCGTCTTTTCCCATATTTTCTGGGTTTTTGTCTCCCCCCCCACTTCCCATATTTTCCAATCTCTTCCTGGAAATCGAAGATGAATTGCGTCTGTGTGTTTCTCTCCCTCCTGAGCCGTCCTCGGCTCGCGGATCCCCAGGACGTTCTTGAGCGCCAGCGTCGGGCCCCCGGCCAGCAGCCGCGAGACGTCCTCCAGCACCGCCGGCGGCAGCGTCGTGGCCCGCTGCTCCTCGAGCTGTGGGGCCGGATGGGGAGGAGATCCCAGACCCCTTCGAGTTATGAAAAAATCACGACGGGAGGTTTTTCACTATTTTTGGCCTTTGGGGGCCCTGACCGGCCCTCGGGACCGTCAAAAAACGACTCAGGACGAAAAACCGGTCCCGGGGAATGGGTCGAGACCTCGGGGGGTCGACGTCATGAAAAAATCATGACGTCGGGGGTCTGGGATGCACGAGGCGGAAGAGGCGGAGACCAGCGATACCTCCCGCCCGACGGAGCCCTCAACCACCGCGCGTTCGACGACTGCGAAAACGACATGCCAAACTCTCCAGCACGATCCACTCCCGAACCCTTGCGGGCTCGACCGCAGCGGCAGCACTCAGCGAAACCTCCAGCAAGACTGTGCCATCACTATGAGCTCACACGCTGTGAGTCCAACCAGCGAGAGGTCAGCACAGCTTCTCTCTCTTGCGAGTTCAAAACCAGCGAGCTGACTCAGCAAAACTCGAGGCTCGATGGTGTTCACCTTCTCTGCGAGCCTTCCAGCTGCAGGTACAAGCGTCGAGACTCTGGCACGCCCCACTCCTCGACCGCCGCGAGCTCAACAAGAATGAGTTCGCCTTGCCTTCATCGCGCATCCCCCCGAGGCTCGAAACTTCGGCTCCGCCGCCCGCCTCCCCTGAGACGAAGCCAGGACGAGGATAAATAACATTTGGTGAAGATAAACCGAGGATCTCTGAGGTGCCGCGGCCGGCCTCTGGCACGCTCGAGACCGTTGTGGAAGGCTCTGGAACGGATTCATCCTCGCCCCAGCCCCGTCCGACCCCACCCCTCCTGCTCCCGTGGGCTGGCCCCTCCCGGCACGCCTGCTCTGGCTGCCCTCGGGCGTCTCCGCCCTCGCGCCTCCGAGCTCCGGCGGACCCCTCGCCAGCGGGCGTGTGTGCACCGACCCGGCCTGCAGCAGCACGGCCCGATCCCTCCCGCCTCTCTCCTCGCCGTCCTCTCTCGCCTGCCCTCTCGCCTCCCCTCGCTGCCCTCTCCGCATCCCCTCTGCCTCCCACTCCCCCCCTCCAAGGTCCAAGGGGGGAGGAAAGGCGAGGGGGGTGGGGAGGGGGCTCGAGCCCCAGTCGCGTCGGGACCCTGGAGTCCTGGAACGTCCACGCGTTCGGGAACGGCGGTGCGCGAAGGCCACTTTCTGCCTCGAGAGCTGCGGCGGGGCCGAGTTCCGGGGCCAGGGCCCCCCCCCTCCTCCTCCTTCCCATCAGCCCGCTTCTCCTCCTCCTTCCCATCAGCCTCCTCCATTCCTACCGAAGATCGTCGGAAGGGCGGGCCTGTCGCTTCGCCTGAGACTTTCTTACCATGCATGAGCCTCAAACTTAAAAGCTGGCAACCATTTCACAAATGGAGAGCGGGTCGCTTCCAACATGTGGCTCTCGCCTTAGCGCCGCGAGCATTCGTTTTGAACAGTTGTAAGAATTTCACGGATTGGGGACAGGTGGTTTTCAAAATGAGGCTCTCGCCCTAGCGCCGCGCACATTCGTTCTGAATAATTATAAGCATTTCGCGGCTGGAGGGCGGGCCGTTTTCAACATGTGGCTCTCGCTTCAGCGCCGCGCACACTCGTTCGAAAAAACTGCCAGACCTTCACGGATGAAGAGTGGCTCCTTTTCAAAATGTGGCTCTCGCATTCGCGCCGCGCGCATTCGTTTTAAGAGTTTAGAATGATTTCAAGGGTTCTCATGGTTCACGCCGCACATATGGCGTTTTGGCACGATATCGAACTGTCAGGTCGCAGCACGTACGTTGATTCGTAGTGACGAAGTCCCAGGAACGTTGTTCTAGCACGATACAGAATCGTCAAGACGCAACAATAACGGTGATTCGCGGCGTTGAAGTCCCAGGAGTGGTATTCTGGCACGCTTCAGGATCTTAAACGATTGTCTCGCAACGGGGCACTGCCCTCAGTGGAAATGAATCCTTGCAAGTGGCCTGTGAAAAGGAAGCCTGGAGGGAGGGTTGATCGCAGTATCGTTGATGAGACTTGGGTTTAATTACGCTGAACCTCCTCCTGCGTCTCCTCTTCCTCCTCCTCCTCCTCCTCCTCCTCCCTCGGCTGACCCAAGCATTAAGTCGGGCCTGTCCCCCTACAGGGGGATTTCGGACGAAAAAACAGAAATACACCAAACATATCCCAAAACTGCCCAAAGATAGCCAAAAAATGGTCCCCAGACTATGTTTTGACTGTCTTTGAATGTCGCCCCTGTAGCGTGACAGGCCCCACTTAACCCAAGCACCCACCCAGACTCAGGACGGATGGTCACCAGGGCCAGGTGTGCGAGAGGTGCGGCCGCAGAGGTCCCATTCGGGAACAACGGCCGGGGCGCACAGCCCTCTGCGAGCACGCCGTGCGCACCCGGTGGGAGCTCCGTTCGCCTGGCCGCCCGGAGCGCGCTCCGGGGCGAGCGCGGGCACGACAGATCCCTGCCCGAACGGCGCTGGCTCTGGCAGCGGACACCGCCGGAACCGGCCAGGCTTGAACAGCTTGCTCTCTTGGAGATCGCCCGAATCTGGAGACCCCGTGCCTCGTGTTGTGCTGCTCCCGTCGCACTCAAAGGCCACATCCCAGAAACAACTTCGAGCACCCGGGAAAGTGTCGAAAGAGTGTCGGAACAGTGTCGGGCGAGTGTCCCCCAGGGCCCGACACGTGAAAACCCGCGAGTTTTGGTACTGTTTTGGGCGCTCGAAATTCTTTCGGATGATCAGGGCTGAAGTAAGTTGGAACATCATAAGCCTCGTGAAGGCCACTGGCGGCTCCCCATCCTCCATCAGCCCCTCGAGGTGCTGGTCGATCTGCCTGCGGCGGCGCGGCCAGGGCATCTGCGCTCGCGGCCCTCGACTCACACCGCCCCCGCCGCGCGGGCGGCACCAGGCCGCGCGGGGTTGGTCCTTGCCGCGCGCCCCCCCGTCCCCCATGTTCGGCTGCACGCAAGCGTGGCCCTGGGTGAGAGTGGCCTTTGGTGCACGGCCTTTTGGGGGCCGCGGGGGGGCCAAGCACAAGCGCGCAAGACGCCACCACCGCATCGCCTTCGGCGATCGGGGGACCCCATCGGGCCCGCACCAAAGGTCACTCTGGCGAAAGGTCACTCCTACGTGTAGTCGACATGTCTCCTGAGAATCTTGGCGCTGACGGGCCGGCCCCTGGAGAAAAGCGCAGCTCTTTGGCCCAAGCCGCGACGCGCGAAGCTCGGGCATCTTCACGCTCCAGCTGGCGACCTGGTTCCCAGGCCTCTCTGACTGCCCCTGATTCCTACCCACTCTCCGTCACCATCCCCCTCCTCTTTTCCTCTTTTCCTCTTTTCCTCCTTTCCTCTTTTCCTCCTCCTCCTCCTCCTCCTCCTCCTCCCCCTCCCCCTCCCCCTCCTCCTCCTCCTCCTCCTCCTCCTCCTCCTCCTCCTCCTCCCCTACCTCCTCTCCTCCACCTCCTCCTCCACTCCTCCTCCTCCCCTCCTCCTCCTCCTCCCTCCTCCTCCTCCCCCCTCCGCCCTCCCCCTCCTCCTCCTCCTCCTCCTCCTCCTCCTCCTCTCCTCCTCCTATCCTCCACCTCCTCCTCCTCCTCCTCCTCCTCCTCCCACTCCCCCTCCTCCTCCTCCTCCTTCTCTCCTCCCTCCTCCTCCTCTCCTCCTCCTCTACTCCTCCCTCCTCCTCACGCCTGACTCTTATGCTTGCCTTCCGGCAAACGAAAACGGGAAAGCACAGTATTAGTCAAAGTTAACTGGCAACCATTTAGATCTAACGAAAATAACAATTACAGAACCAGCCCTACCAAACTATCACAAGGAGACGCAACCCCGAAAACAAATCGTCTGTCAAAGCACAATGGACCTAAAATAACAAACAACTCACAAACTTAAAAAATCTACAAAAAGTCAAGATCTACATTTAAGCACCCGAATAAAGTCACCACCAACGGTGTTGGCCATGTTGCTCGTGCGCGTGCCGTGCGCCTCACGGGCCAGGCGCACACGGAGCGCGAAGCAAAGACAGTGCTGCCAGTGCAGGTGCGTTCAAGCGTCATCAAACATAGGGCCCGTGATACAGAGGCGGGGGCGCGCAACGAAAATGCCACGAATTACGGCCCGCAGATCGTATCATCTAGCACTGGGCATCCGCCGTAACGGTCTGGACGCTCACGCGGCGGGGGGGAGAAGGACGAGGAGGGGGAAAGGAGGAGGGAGGAGGAGGAGGAGAAAGGGGGAACGCCAACTGGCGTCTGACACGTATCGGGCCCGCGGCTGTACGGGAAGTTGTGTGGAACGTACTGTCCCAGGGCCCAAACAGCCACAATCAGAAGCCAACACAACATTCGAAAAGAGAGGAGAAGGAGGAGGAGGAGGAAGGAAAGGAAAGCGGAAAGGACGCCAGGTCGCAGCCGAAGGCTCCACTGGCGGGCCAACCAAAACTCTCCCTCCAACCGATTCGTCGAACGATCGTCGAAAGATCTGAAAGATCGATGGCTCCAAAACTCTCCCTCCAGCCGAACTCTCCCTCCAAAACTCGCCAATTCAAACTCTCCCTCCAGCCGAACTCTCCCGATTCCTGACGGCCTGAAAGGTCGTCGAGCGCGGCACTCCCCAGGGCCAGTCGGCCATGGGGGGGTGATCGAACTGGGAGCCAGGCGATTCCTGGAGCGTTCGCTCCACGAGCCGCTGGCTGGTGGGAGAAGTCTGTCACAGGTAGGGCGGCACGCAGACGCAGTGGAGGGGAAACCAGAGAGAAGGAGAGGCAGAGAGAAGGATCGGAGAAGCGAGACAACACAGCAAGAAGAACCTCGAGGAGGAAGAGGGCGGAACGAAGGGAAGCAGGCCGCGACGGTCGTGTGTGCTGGCCGGGCGCGGCACGGGGTGTGGCGCTAAAGCGTGGACAGTGGCCACTCTCGCCAGGCTGGATGGCGCACAAGCCCGTCCCCCTGCCGTCGAGAAGCCCCCCGCCCCTGGCCGCCAGGCCAAGCAAGGGGACCCTCACCCGCCGAGACAGGCAGAGAGTTTTAAAGGGGCCCCAGGACACACAAATAAATACACACAAATAAAAAGATTCCCCATATTTTCCTATATTTTCTGGGTTTTTGTCTTCCCCCCACTTCCCATATTTTCCCATATTTTCTGGGAATCGATGATTGATTTTGTCTGTGTGCTTTTTCCTCTCCTGAGGTTTCCAGGGAGGGAGCGGCGGCCAGGGCGGGGGTCCCCCCAGGCGTGGGGAGGTCTGCGCCAGGATGCGGCGGTGGTGCACGCTGCGTAGCCCGCCCACCCACTTTTGACCCTCCTGCCCACCACGCTGGCTTTTTGCGGTGCGGCGTCGCTCTGAAGCAATAGAGCGGGTTGACAGCATGTGGCAACAGCTATCACAGAGCGAGGTGAAAACACTGAGAGCAGCAGTGGGAGCGGCGTGAGCGGTGAGAGCGGCGGTGAGAGCGGCAGCGCGTGCGAAAGCGGCGAAGGCCGCAGTTACAGCGAGGTGAGCCCACCACTGGTGGGTGCGAGATACTATTGCGTCTCTAGGTGCCCAGGGGTTTTGTCAGTGCACCCCAAAACCTCCTCGAAACCACAAAATGAAGATGTGTTTTGTGCCGGAAGGGCATGTTACAGACATACATCGCTTCACTCGTAAGCATGTATGCACAGATGCAGTGAGGGTACTTCAGCACCCCTCCTCGCTACAGGCTGGACTGCGTTCCAGATTGCAACGTCCAGCACGACTCTGTAGCCGTCTCAAGGTATGGAGCGTGGCGATCCGCCCAAGCTCAGTGCGGCGAAGCGCGCGGTGGCGAAGCTCATTGCTGTGCGCGGCTACCCGCGCTCAGAAGAGTTGCTGCTTCGAGCTGTCGCAGCGCTGCCCGCAAGTCAGCTCTGGCTGGTTGGTCGTCCTCGTGTCCACAGCCTTGCAAGGCAAGCGGGGCAACCCGCGCCCGCGTCGCGGCACGTCAACATGCGAGGTGCCTCCCTGCTGCGGCCCTTCCATCGTGGAAGCCGTGGCCAATACTTTTTCACGTGGCCGTCGAGCTCGTTCCGCGATCGCGGCTTTGCCAGCAGGTCAGAACAATGATATTTGGTTCCGATTCGCCCTAAAAGCCAATGCTGCCAGCTCGCAGTTGGCTCGTGCTTTGTATGTGCCTTGTGCCAGCCCCATGGCAACTTTGGACTCGGCGCGTGCTGGCGCATTGTTGCATCGCGGGACCCTAGTCTCAGGAGGCACGAATAACAAAACTAACTCGCGAAATACTCGACCCCCCACAGCCGTGACGAATAAAAACTCTGGCCTAGACTCAACCACCCCTCCAGAGCGATAGATAACGACTGCGACGGCGCCGCGCGAGGGGGGGTCTCACGAGCAATAACAACCAACCTTCAAACATTGCACACCACTTCACCAGCAAATGGGTACTTTGAGTGCTAGTGCGGTAGTAGTGTGTACTGAGCACTACTACGGTATGTATAAACAAGAACGCAGAAGTAATATGTACGAGCCCACTGTTCCGTAATAGTAATTCTCTAGTTAGGATTGTAGTGGTGGTGCTCCAGTATTGCTGGTGCTCTTGCACTGTAGAGTAGTATAATACTTTGATACTGGTTGGGGTAATGTTGTAGGTACTCTAATGCTTTAGTATTGAAGAGCTCCATTATTGTAGGTACTCCTGCACTGTAGTAATGATAGTACTCGAAGGGTAGTGGTACTCTAAAACTGTAATACCCAAGTACGGCAACCGTATCCTGATACTGTAGCGTTGTAGCACTAATGCTCTAATAGTAGCACTCGATTACTGTAGTCGTATAGTACTGTAGTCGTACCAAACTATTCTAGTCCAGTAGTAGGAGTAGTAGTAGTAGTCGTCGTCGTCGTCGTCGTCGTCGTCGTCGTCGTATCAGTGGTAATACTGTAGGGACGGCTGTAGAAGTAGTACAATAGTATGTTGGAATACTCTAGGTTTGGTGTGATACGCTAGTACTGTCGCACAATACTAACACAGTAGTAGTAGTCGTACTATAGCACTGAAGTGTTATTATTAGTAGTAGTAGTAGTCGCAGTAGTAGTAGTAGTAGTAGTAGTAGTAGTAGTAGCAGTAGTAATAGTAGTGGTAGTAGTAGTAGTAGTAGTAGTAGTAGTAGTAGTAGTAGTAGTAGTAGTAGTAGTACTAGTACTAGCACTAGTACTAGTACTAGTACTAGTACCGTACTCGTACTCTTCTCTAGTAGTAGTAGTAGTAGTAGTAGTAAGTTAGTAATTAGTATTAAGTAGTAGTAAGTAGTAGTAGTAGTAGTAATAGTAATAGTAATAGTAGTAGTAATAGTAGTAGTAGTAGTAGTAGTAGTAGTAGTAGTCGTAGTAGTAGTAGTAGTAGTAGTAGTAGTAGTAGTAGTAGTAGTAGTAGTAGTAGTAGTAGTAGTACGGTTGTAGTACGGTTGTAGTACTGTGGTGATAAAGATACTCTCGTTGGACAGGCGACAACTGACACATCGCGCACAGGCAGACCCACCGCTTGGGAGAAATGACGGGGGGTCCGATCGAAATCTACCCCCCTGGAACGATGAATAACGGCGGGAACGTGCCACAACTCCCCCCCCCCTGTTAACGACTGAACCGGCCTGAAAGCACTTACCGGGTCAACCTCTCATAACCCAGGGTGATGGGGTGAGATCGCAATGTAACAGAGGGCCCCTCACCGGGAAATCGGATCCGGTTTCGTGTTCGTGCCATGCGAGCGGGCGAGGCGAAGCTGCGTGGGCGGGCGAAAGGACTGAACCTTCCTCTGGCTAGGACGCCGCCGTGCGAAGAGACCGCCCCTCCCTGGTTGTCCGGCGGTGGCGGGGGGTGTCCTGCCAGTGTCCCGCCAGTGTCCCGTCGGTGTCCCGTCGGTGTCCCGTCGGTGTCCGGTCGGTGTCCCGTCGGTGTCCCGTCGTGAGATCGATAGTGAAATCGATAGTGAGACCGATAGTGAGAACGATAGTGAGATTGATAGTGAGATCGAAAGTGAGATCGGTAGTCAGATCGATAGTGAGATCGATAGTGATAGTGGCATCGATGGTGAGATCGAAAGTGAGATCGATAGAAGGAACAGTGACATCGATCGTGAGATCGATAGTGAGATCAATAGTGAGATCGATAGTAAGATCGAAAGTGAAAGGGATAGTATGACCGATTCTGAGATCGATCGAGATACCGATAGTGAGATCGATAGTGAGATCGATCGGCAGTGAGATCGATAGTACGATCGATAGTGAGATCGACAGCGAGACCGACAGTGACATCGATAGGGATATCGACTGTGAGATCGATAGTGGGATCGATGGTGAAATCGATATATATATATATATATGTAGAAAGAGAGAGAGATAGAGAGAGAGAGAGACAAAAAAAAAGAGAGAGAGAGAGAGAGACACGTTGCGAGAGCGATACTGCAATCGATCATGAGACCGACAGTGAGAGCGATGGAGTGAGGCGCTGGCTCCTCCCCCTCCTCCTCCTCCCCCTCCCCCTCCCCCTCCTCCTCCTCCCCCTCCTCCTCCTCCTCCTCCTCCTCCTCCTCCTCCTCCTCCTCCTCCTCCTCCTCCTCCGCTGCGAACAGCGGGCCCCCTTTACCGCGGGCGCACTGTGAGCCCCTCAGCGCCCGAAGAGTGGGGCCTCTGCTCCTCGTCCTCCTCCTCCCTCCCCCTCCCCGTTCTCCTCCCCTCCCCCTCCCCTCCTCCCCTCCTCTCCTCCTCCTCCTCCTACTCCTCCTCCCCTCCTCCCCTCCTCCTCCTCCTCCTCCTCCTCCTCCTCCTCCTCCTCCGCTGCGAACAGCGGGCCCCCTTTACCGCGGGCGCACTGCGAGCCCCTCCAGCGCCCGAAAAAAGTGGGGCCTCTGCTCCCTGCTCCCCCTCCGCAGACAGCAGCAGCAGCGGGGGCTCGGCCTGCGGGCGCTCTGCAGGGTCTCCAGGGCCGCGTCTCCTCCGGCGAGCGCGGGCGACCCAGCCTCCCTCGGCGAGCGCGGGCGACCCAGACCCCCCCAGACGGGAGGTTTTTTCAGTATTTCTGGCCTTCATTATTTCATTACGGAAGGGTTTTTCATTATTTTGGGCCTTTGGGGGCCCTCACCGGCCCTCGGGACCGGCCAAAAACGACCCAGGACGAAACGCCGGTCCCGGGGAGTGGGTCGAGGCCTCGGGGGGTCGACGTCATGAAGAAATCCTGACGTCGGGGGTCTGGGGAGGGCCGCCGCGGCAGCAGCAGGCCACGCCCGGAACAGCCCCGGGCGGCGGCCGCTCCCGGCGAGGCCCGTCTCCCCAGACCCCCTCGCGTCGTGAAAAAATCACGACGGAAGGGTTTTTCATTATTTTGGGCCTTTGGGGGCCCTCACCGGCCCTCGGGACCGGCCACCGGCCCTCGGGACCGTCCAAGAACGACCCAGGACGAAAAGCCGGTCCCGGGGAGTGGGTCGAGACCTCG